GGGCTACAGACCAATATATCTCATGAACACAGACAAGAAAACATTAGCAAATTAGTCTAACAAGATATAAAAGGATTACAAAGCCATGTGGTAGCATGCCTGGAATCCCATCACTTCAGAAGGTAGGAGCAAGAGAATCACAAATCTGAGGTCAGCCTGGGCTATATAGTGAGATCCTGCTCTCCCTCCCATCCCCCCAAAATTACAGGTGTTAGGATGGTGGCTTAGTGGTTAAGAACACTTACTCCGAAAGTATAAAGTTCTGAGTTCAAATCCTCATCATGTAAGTAAAAAGCTGTATATGCCTGTTACTCAAGAATTAGGGGTGGTGATGGGGGGATCCTGGGAGCTTTCTGGGCAAGCAGCCTAGTCAAGCTTCATCTTGCGTGAGAGATCAAGTCTCAAAGCTATAAGGTGGAGAGCTATAAAGAAGGACACTTGATGTCCTGCATGTGCACACAGGAGTACGTCCATGCAGACATCATACACACACACACACACACACACACACACACACACACACACACACTATGACCAAGTGGGATTGCCCCCAGGTGCACTTAACTGGTTTCACATTAAAAGAACAACTGATATAATCCATTACACCAAGAGACCACAGAAGAAAAATCACATGACGATTTTGACCCATGAGAAAAGCAGTTGACCAGATCCAGCACTGGTGGATGATAAAATATACTTTTCACCATTATTGAAAATAATGAGAGACTTCCTCGAGTTGGCAAAGAACATCTAGGAAAAAAAAAAACTCTACCACTCCCATTTCCCTGAATGGTCAGAGGTGAAGTGTTTCTCACGATGGTGAGAGATGAAGGGTTTCTCACGAAGATCAGAACTAATGCACCTTTTACCCCTGCCTTCCAACATCAACTGGAGGCTATAGATAGTACTGGAAGGAAGAAAAGGTATATGGAGAGGGATGGAGAGATGGCTCCATGGTTAAGAGCATGTACTGCTCTTCCAGAGGGCAAGAGTTTGGTTCCCAGCACCCACATCAGGTTTATGACCACCTGCCTGTAATTCCAGCTCCAGGGACTCCAAGATACACACGCACAAACCCCCACACAAGTTTATGTACTTAAAATAATAAAGATCAATCATTTTTAAATAAGATAAAATAAAAGGTATGCAGAGCAGTAAAGAAAAGCTAAAAATGTCTTTGATTGCAGATTATATGGCTGTGTAGGTAGAAAACCCTGAACAATGTTTTGATGCTTCTCTGTTTATTTGATTAGTGGGTAGAGGGCATGTGCCTGCCATGGTGGACGTGTAGAGGTCAGATGATAATGTCTGAGACTTGGTTCCCTCTTCTACAATGTGGGTTCTGGAACTGAACATAGGTCATTGATGGGGAACCTTGTTAGCCAACCATCTTTAAGAGGTGTGCATCTCTGTGTGCACTCTCTCTGCACCTTTTCCCATGGGGCATTGCTGTGCTTGGATTTCTTGTTTCCTGTTTCGTGAGTTTTCCCCTTATAATAAATAAAATATAATAAACATAATTGTTTTATCCTTAGCTGGCATAGTTATTTCTACAGGTCATCAGGCTTGCAGGCAAGTGCCCTTTCCCACCGAGCCATCTCTCCAACCCCCACACCTAAAATAACTGACAAAAGTATCTTGAAATTGATCACATAAAGTTGCGGGATACAGATTATGATGACATAGAGTCAGCTTTGACTGTCAACTTGACATAACCTCAAATCACTTGGAAAGAGAGTCTCCATGTGGGATCTTCAACGTTGACTATCGTCATGGCTGTGGAAGACTGTCTTAGTTAACTGATGTGGAAAGCTCTGGCCCACTGTGGGTGGCACCATCCCTAGCCAGGAGGGTCCTAAATGGATAAAAGTGGAGTCATTGAACTGAGCACATGTAGTTGGAACAGCGGGCTGCGTTCCCGGTGCCCGGCCGCCCGCATGGCTAGCTTTACACCTGAAATAATTATATGGAAACTGTATTCTTTTAAACATTTCTTGGCCCATAGCTCTAGCCTCTTATTGGCTAACTCTCACATCTTGATTAACCCATTTCTAATGAGTGTAGCACCATGAGGTGATGTCTTACCAGGAATATTCTTAACCTGCATCCATCTCGGAGAGGAGAGCTATGGTGACTGGCTCACTTCCCTTCTTCCCAGCATTCTGTTTGGTCTACTCTACCTATCAAAATTCTGCCCTATTAGGCCAAGCAGCTTTCTTTATTAATTAACCAATGAAAGCAACAGATAGACAGATGACCCTCCTCCATCAAGCACAAATAATAAAGTTATCTAGCGAGCAAGAATTCATTTCTCTCTTCTGTCTTGATTGTGGATGTGATGTGACTAATGTCTTCAAGTCCCTACCGCCTTGATTTCCCCTCAGTGGACTATAACTCAGAATTGTAAGCTGAACAAACCCTTCGTCCCCTAAACTGCCTTTGGTCAGAATATTTTGTCACAGCAACATAAATTAAACTAGAATACAACATTAATAAACAAAAGCGACTACTCTGTTTTCCTGTATAACAGCAGTGGGAAGTTGGACTTGAAATTCAAAAGAGTATTTATAGTAGTGATCCCCAAATGAAATTAGATATAAACCTAAATCTGATGGTAAGTATGAGGTGAGCTACAAAATAGTGAGGAAATAAGAAAGAAAAATATTCCACGTGAACAGTAAGACTTGATATTGTCAACATGTTGGGTCTTACCAAGTTGATTTCCTTTGACACAATATCATTATCAAAATGCCCAGAAGTTACTTTATGGATATAATCAATTGCTACAGCTACTATAACTAAAGCACTCAGAGCAGCCAATTCAATTGTAAACAACAAAGTCGAAGTCTATTACTGCTGGGCTTCAGAATGCCTGGAAAGTTACAGTAAGCAAGAGGGGGGTGTTACTGCTGGGCTTCAGAATGCCTGTAAAGTTATGGTAAGCAAGAGTAAGTCACATCAGTGGGGCAGAACAGGGAGCTCAAAACTAGACTCACATAAATTCAGGCAACTGGTCTTTGACAAAGGATCAAAGAAACGCAATGGAATAAAGACAGTTTTATCAACTGGACATCCTGAAGCTGACCTTAAGCCCCTCACAGACATGAACTCAACATGGATCGCAAACCTAAGTATAAAATACTGTGCTATGAACTCCTGGAGACAGTGTAGGAGATGGATCACAAACCTAAGTATAAAATACTGTGCTATGAACTCCTGGAGACAGTGTAGGAGAAAGCCTAGGTGGCCTTGGGTATGGCAGCGAGCTCCAGAAGGGCAGTCTGTGAAAGTTGTAGTTATAATTGGGGCTTGTTAGAGTAAACTCTGCCCTGCAGGTACACTAACAGAATGAGAAAATGAGCCACAAGCTGGGGAACAGGTCTATGGATGACATGAAGGATCGACAGACAAGCAGGCAAAGAACTCTCAAGACTCGGCAATAATATAAACAAATAGCAGCTTGTTTAAAACACGGACAAAGCTGGGCAGCGATGGGGCACACCTTAAACCCTAGCACTTGGGAGGCAGTGGCAGGCGGATCTCTACAAATGTGAGGCCAGTCTAGTCTACAAATCAAGTTCCAGGACAGCCAGGGCTATTACACAGAGAAACCCTGTCTCGGAAAACCAAAAAGTAAATAAAAATAAAATAAATAAAAATAGAAAATGGACAAAGGACCTGAACAAATACCTCCAGAAAGAAATAGACAGATAGCAAGCAAGCGTATGAAAAGGTGTTCAATGCCCTTTGCCCAATGCATTACAAAGGAAAATGCATACCATTGCTGGTCTATTTTCAGTTCTGTTGGCTGTTATAATACACCCTGATGAAAAGCAACTCAGGAAGGGAGGAAGGGGCTATTTTAGCTCAGATTAGTCCATGAGCACAGGGACTTCAAGCAGCTGGTCACATCACCTCCATGCTCAGTAGAGAGAGAAGGAATGCACACATGCCCATCTGCTTGCTTGCGTGTTTGCAGCCTCCCCCGTTCTATCTCTAGTTTTATTCTATTTATTTTTGGTTTTTTCGAGACAGGTTTTCTCTGTCTAGCACTGGATGGGATGTCCTGGAATTCCTGTTGTAGACCAGTTTGTCCTCAAACTCACAGAGATCCACCTGCCTCTGCCTTCCAAGAGCTAGGATTAAGGGTGTGAGTCATCCACCACGCCTGACGTAGACTCCTTGACGTCAGACTTATTCTTTCATCCTAACAAGGCAAAAGGAACTGCTCCTAGCCTTGTATGTCTGAGTCATTCAGGGCAAAAGGTCTTGGTGTCTGACAGTCTTAAAATACAAAATGCAGCATTTGGTACCACTCTGAGTCACTAGGCAAGCTTTCCTTCGGTCAGGCATCAAGGCTGCCCCTGGGATCCTGGTCCTGGGTGTACAAGGCACTCAGGGAATACGGTGTCAGGGTAGGTAGGTTCATGCTGCAGTGTTTTGTTTTTTCTCACAGTCTGGAAACATTCTATATCATTTGTATATACCTTATGTGACATGATGCTGGGTGGGATACCTGACAAGGTAGACTTCTTTTGTCTCATACTCTGAGGATACAGTCCATACATGGTGAAGAAGATTCAAGGCTCTTGCAACCCCAGTCAGCTAGCTAGCTAGATCTCTCTCTCTCTCTCTCTCTCTCTCTCTCTCTCTCTGTCTGTCTCTTTTCTATGTAGTACTGACTATCTTATTACTTGACTTGTAGACTAGGCTGGCCTTGAACGCAGAGAGACCCTCCTGCCTCTGCCTCCCAAGATTAAAGGTGCGGGCCGCCACACCCTGCTACTTTCTCCATTGTTTTCAGTCCTGGACCACAGGACCACAGCTCATTAAATGGTGCCAGCTACGTTAAAGTCCTTCTCCCTCAGTTAACCCAGTCTAGAAAATCCCACAGTCATTCATGTCCAGAGATACATTTCCATAGTTATCTTAGGTCCTGTCAAGTTGGCAAGGTTAACCATCACAGTCCAGGGACACTGACTGTTGCTCCTTCTCCTCAGAGAGGCCGTGTGGAGACCCACCATCCTTCCCACACACCATCCTCCAGGGTCGCACTGGCTTGGAGATGGGGGATGAGCTGCTGTATGTGTGTGCACCAGGCTCCGTTCCAGGCCGTCGAGAGACCGCCTTCACCTTGCTGTGCAACAGCTGTGGGGAGTGGTACGGACTAGTACAAGCCTGCGGGAAAGGTAAGCACCACCTGCCTGCGTGGAGCCCACACAGGGCTTTGAAGGTGACCCCCCTTTCCACCCACAGACATTGAGAGCTTCTACGTCTGGGAATATATGTGCCTAGCATCTCACAACTCCCTTCTCCATCTTCCTGCTGGAAGTGAATGGTTAACAATGTCCCACCCCTCTTCTCTAAGGAGAGACTTGACCCAGGTGTTAAAAAAGTCGTTGTTTTTTTAAGTTTGTATTATATTACTTTATGTCTTATGGGTGCTTTGTCTGTCAACCCAGAGCTTGCCAATATAAAAAGAGATAGTCTTGCTGTCCAGCTTGAAAAACAGCAACAAAAACAAAAAAGTGTCTTGAAAAAAACAAAACAAATACAAAAAAGAAAAAGAAAGAAAAAATGTTAATTTACATACCATAGGTTTTCTTATGGAATATTTATAGTTAATATGTTATAAATACTTTTCCCAGCCTGGGAGGTATATCTCATTCATAAAGTATTTGTCCTGGAACTCACTCTGTAGACCAGGCTGACCCCTAACTCAGAGATCCGCCTGCCTCTGCTGCCCAAGTGCTGGGATTAAAGACCTGTGCCACCTCACCCATACCTTGTTTTTGTTTTTCTTGATCAGGTTTGATCAGGTTTGTTTTCCCTCCAGTAAAGGAATTAAAAGGCAGCAGTTTATATAGTCCTGGGGGTCGGACCCAGGGCTACGGGACGCTAAGCAAGCAGTCTAAGTGAGCTACACCCTAATCCATAAACAGAATTGTTAAAAATAAAGATTCTGTCCCAGTCTGCGGCTTAATCTTGTTATTCTTCAGAGCACGTTTTAATGCATGGGTTGTTTTTTTGTTTTGTTTTTATCCATTTTATAACCTTCCAGACCAGAGTGGGTACATTTAGGGTGGTTTAGACTAGCTGCAAACTCTGGGGACTATTACAAGCTTTTTGGTATTAGATTTTAAAAACTGAATTATATAAACTAAAATGAATTCCCATTACAAATACATTTTTTTTGTTAGCATAGCTTTTTAAATTCCCTGTGAAATTATTCCAGCAGTGTCCCCAGCTGTTCTCTCCAGTTGGTTAGCAGTTTGTGGTAAGGAAAGCCGCACAGAAAGGCGGGTGCTGGAGGGCTCTGCCCATCAACTCTAGCGCCCACCCTCACCCAGACCGGCAGGGCACCGTTCTCCAGAGGCACTGAGGTCGCACCTTCCTGTAAGCCACACCTATCTACCAAATGGCTGGTTTACCGGCCGGAGGAGGATGGGAACTAAAAGCAGGTTTTGTGTGTTCCAGAAGGTGTTTATTTTCTCACTGTGATGAGGAGTCAAAGCTCTCAACTGATTCTGGCTGCTTCACTTGGCTGGCTGGACAGGCCTCCACAGTTCTCCTTACTCAGAAGAGCTAGCATGTAAAACGTCTGTGTCCTAGTAAGAAGTGTGTGTGTGTGTGTGTGTGTGTGTGTGTGTGTGCGTGCGCATGCGTGTTCGACAACATGGTCATAGTGGCACACACCTGTAATCTTGGGAGGTGGGAAGGACAAGAAGAGAGGAAGCTGAAGGCCATCCTTGACTGGAAAGCAAGTTCAAGGCCAGCCTGGAATACATGAAAATACACCTGGAAAAGAAACAGAAAAGGACAGGGACTATTGTTCAACTGGTAGCGTGCTTTCCTAGCACCGTCTGTGGTGACACACACCTGTGACACATCAGAACAGTTTGGAGGTGAAGGCAGGAGGATCTGAAGCTCAATGCTATTCTTGGTTGCATAGTGAGTTCTAAGCCAGCCTGGGCAACGTGAGCTTTTTTTTTTTTTTTGAGGGTTGGAGAAGATTATTTTGGAAGGAAGGAAGGAAGGAAGGAAGGAAGGAAGGAAGAATAGATGGGGAGGAGAGAAAAATTAGACAAGCTTAGGGACAGCCATTCTCCTGACACTACAGAAAACATAATTGGAACCTAAGGAACCTGGGAGGTGGGGATTTACCCGTTTGATAGGGTATGAGCATTCCATATCAGAAGCCCTAGGTTTGGTCCCTGGCACCACACACAGTATGCATGGTAGCACACACCTGTCACCCCAGTGCTTGGGAGGTGGAGGAAAGAGGCTCAAACCGTCAAGGTCACCTCTCTGCTACACAGCAAGTTAGGGAGCAGTCTGGGCTACAAGAGACAGTCTTAAAACAAGAACTAAACACACATGGAACGTGGGGTGGAAGGTTCTACTGGCCCTTTGGAGTCTTGGGGCTCACCATGGGGACGAGGACTAAAGGCTTTAGTGTCCAGGTTTTCTGCTTCTGCCTTTCTTGCCCATAGTCATTGTCTCCCACTCTGGCCACTTTTGTGTGGCCACTTTTGGAGCCAGGGGCAGAGGCCACAGTACGGCTTCATCCCGAGGTCAGGTGGCGGTAGCTGTACTGGAGCACACGAGAGAATGGAGAAGAGCGGGTGGGTCTGTGAGCCAAGAGAACCGCAGAGGCGCGTTAGGAGGCCAACAGGAGGTGCTTGCTACTGGGGTGGGAACTGTTCTCTTTGCACCAGTGGCCCAGAAAGAAAAATGGCCCTAAAGAAAAACCTAGGTTTGGCATAGTAAGAACCCGATAGAAACCAGACCCAGCATGGAAATCTGTGGCATCCTGCTCAAGGAGCAGTGCGCTGAGGTTTTATGTAATTAGAGCAACAAGCAGTTATAGTTAGATACTGAGCACAGGAAAGAGGCGTGCCAGACAGTGCTGCCAGCCTGGGAGTGGAAACCAAGATGTGTGGATTTGGACAGGAGAATGGAAGACTGAATAGCTAGACCCAGACCAGGGCTCTAAAGCCAGAGCTATAAAACACCAGCGTGTGAGCGAGCACAGCAGGCCAGTTAGCCCAGCGGTCAGCGCTCGCAGGACCAGCAACACCTGGGCTAAGTCTAGGAGATAAACCATTCCCATTCTTTTAGGACTCAGGAAAACAGAGAGGAGTGGCCTGTCTTCAGCTCCCTCAAACCCTCCTACCATTTCAATATCCTAAGTAAATAATCTTTAAAATGACAAGAGTTAGGGCTGATAGGATGGTTCGGGGGTAAAAGCACTTGCCACCAAACCTGAAGACTTGGGTTTGAGCCCAAGAACATACGTGATAGAAAGACAGAACTGACTTCTAAATATCTCCTGACCTCCACACATGTGCTCCGTCTCTGTCTCTGTCTCTGTCTCTGTCTGTCTGTCTGTCTCTCTCTCTCTCTCTCTCTCTCTCTCTCTCACACACACACACACACACACACACACAAAATTATTTAATTAATGTTTTTAAAAAACCAAGCAAGCCAAACCAGCCCTCAGCACCCTTGGGCAGCCTACTCTCCCTGCCAGCTCCACCACATGTCTTCCCCGTCTCCTCCATGAGAATCAGGGATTAAAATGTGTCAATGGTGGGCCACACCTTTAATGCCAGAGCTCAGGAGAGAGGCAGGAGGATCTCTGTGAGTCCAAGGGCCCCGGGGAGAGAACGCTCCCTTGGTCCCCTTCCTCATTCCCTCTTAATCACTTCATGACTGCAGTACAGCCCTAGTTCACCCCCACTCAAAAAAACCCACTGAACAGAAGGGCCATAGCATCTCCTGAAGCCTGGGAAGCCAAGCACAACTCCTCAGCTTTCATTCCCCCGACTTCTGGAGCCACTAAGCCCTCTGAGTCCTTCTGTGCAAAACCATGGCTTCTTTACTCGTCACCCGAAACACCAGCTTCCCGGCTTCTCCACTACCTCCTCGTCCTCTGCCTCATGGGCTTCTTGGGGCGCCCGGCGACTAGCAATTGGTTTGACTCAGCTCTATAGACACACTTAAGAAACTGACCAATGACAGCACATGACGTGGGCCAGTCTACCTAACCAGGGTGAGTGCTCATCCAAACCCATGTGCCCCCAGCTCCAGCCCTCAACATACTTCCCCAAAGAGCTGTTCTCCAATCTGAAGCAGTTCCCTAACCTAAAAAAGATGCTCGCTGGACAAAACAAACATGAAAGTGAGTAAAATATTTGTTGAAGATGTGTGTGTGAGAGAGAGGGCGGGGGGATATCTGTGTATCTTGTTTAGGGTTTTTTTGGATTTATTATTATTTATTTTGTGTGGGCAGATGTGCCATTGCACCTGTGGAGTTCAGAGGACAAACTGTAGGAGTGGGTTTTTTCCTTTTACTATGTGGGACCCAGATACCCCACACAGGTCCTTGGAGCTGGCAGTGAGCACCTTTACCCCATGAACAAGCTTGACTTCTCTGTATCATGTTGCCTAAGGGTTTTTTGGGACAATATCTCCTGTTGATCAAACTGGGTCTAGAACTCATCTTGTGATTGAGGATGACCTTGAACTCCACACCCTCTTGCCTGAACCTCCCACATTCCAAGGTTACAAAAGTCTGACTTTCTCTAGCCTTTCTTTTTAACGCCCCTGGTGTGATTAGCCATGGACACAAGACACATCTCAGTTTGGCACTAAGAAAAGAGCTGTTACCAGCCAAGTATCTGTTCCACGCTATTGCTGTCCTGGGAATTGTGATGTTTTCTTCCTAAACCTTGGTTTACAGCTTCACTTACATTTAACAAACCTCCCACTTCAGTTATAAAAGTATCTGACTTATCCCAGGCAGATACACCTGTGAACCCATTATCACAACCAAATACAGGACTCCAAGGTTAGAGAGATGGCTCAGTGGTCATACACTCCGCCTCATTTAGTCTTTGTAAGTGTGAGTATATTAATGGCTAGCTCCAGTGTGCAGATGGGGAAACTGAGGTTCACAAGCTTCCTTGACTTGCCTATGTCATACAGACATGAAAACAATCACAGAGCTGGGACTTAAAGCAGGCCCGAGTCATTCCACTGTCATCCTGGGATCGTGGTGCCTCTGCCAGGAACCTCAACACTTCTAGCAAGCAAAGGCCAGGCGCTCGCTCCCAAACTCTTTTGCTTGTGCTCTTGTCTCGGAAGACATTCTTTTGGTTTCTTAAATCAACTTCAGTCTCTATTT